AGGGCCTTAGCAGGTAAAATTACAGCCCTGAGGAGAGATGGAAAACCTCGAGCGTCGTTTCTAAACGGGGAAGAAACGCTTAAGTTGTGGGAACGTTGGAATTTAAATTAATTTTTCTTTTTAGACATTTCTAGGCATATCCTTTAGCCGGATAGCATTCAGTTTTCGTAAGCTTTAGTTTTTGATTTTATCACTTTTTTTTGTACGTATCCCCCCAGTGTGATAAGAGGAGATCTACCAAGAAATGGGAAATGCATTGAGCGTGTTCTCTTGTAAAAGATCCCTTTTGTATTCATATAAACTTTAAAATACTCAAAGTTTCTCCTATGTATTCTTTAGGGCAGTTATTAGGGCTATAGAGTAAATTCTTACTTCAGGTTTTCAGTTATCATTTTTGTATATATCATGTTCCTCCATATATATATATATATATATATATATATATAAAAGTAATACAGTAAAGGATGGCCTGACGATTGAGGCTAGCATGAAACATCCTATCACCTCTAAATGTTGACTTCAATGTACACTTTTATATTTATACACGCTCTATCTATGATATTGAGCACTTTATCCCATAAGTTTAGCACACCTTAAAGTATATTTCTTGATATATATGATATATGATAAAAATATAGTTTTAAGATATGCAATATTTGTGGGAGAAAGTGCTCAATATTAGAAATATTTAATATGTATACTACGTTCAAACTTGAAAAAGACTGTCACTGCTTGGTGTTGACATTATATATATATATATATATATATATATATATATATATATATATATATATAGGCAGCAAATTCTCTTTTAGGTATGTCTGATGAAATAAATTATAAACATTATGTCTGTTTTAGCATAATTCTTTCATTTTAACGGATATATTTTTTAGTGTATTACAATCAAATGATGCAAGAAATGCACTGCAACAGTAAAAACCATCTTTTTTTCCCAAGTACTTTCCATCTCTTTCTCAGATCATCATCAGGGGTACAACTGGTAAGGCAAAAATTATGTATAGCTATCCATTACTTGTTTTTTCTTTTTGTGTTTAAATGCAACGGTTGACAGTTATGCTTTAGCGTTCATTAGAACGTGAAAAAAATATCCACTCTGATTCTCAAATTTACAGTGCATTTCTTGCATTATACAATTGTAATATACAGAAAAATATTCATGATTATGAAAGGATTATGATAAAAATAAACAAATGACAAATAATGTTAGATGACTCGGCTGCCTTCGGACTGGAAACGCAATCTGATACAGCCGTGTAGCCTCGCGTCCATTATCGTTCACGCGACCATATGTAAAAATCATATCTGCGTGTTCATGATATGACATTGTTAAACTAAACATTTGTCAGTAAACTCACTACTATACACGTTCAGCGTTGAAGACAGACTAGCCACAAATGTACATGAATGACGAATGTAACCTAGTTTCCATGGCAGCACAGCGCCATCTAGCGTAAACTTTCTTTAAACTTAATGACCCAAAAACGAAGAATTTGTGAATATATGTTTATATGAACGTTTGTCCTTGTTTTTGTGCGTGGAAATTGCCCCCAAAGGTCAATATTTCAATGTTTGAAATATTCAACTCCGATCTGCGTCTTTCTTCTCGGCTCTAACCAAAAATATTAGTCGGAAGAATACGTCTCACTTCTTTGTTTATTCCTCGTATCACTGAAGAAGCTCACAGGCGTGTTCGAAAATTCCGACACTAAGATCTTTCTCTTCGTGCTTCAATTCAGTCAAAACGTTAATATATAATGAATATCAATTTCATATTGGCATCATTTTGTTGTTTTTTTATTCTTCGAATTTTATTAAACGCCATATTAATTCTACATATTATAGATGGTACACATGAATCACCTTTCGATTTAATGATATATACATACATACATACACATATATATAGAGATATAGATATATAGATATATATAAACGTGAATATTGAATTCAACACTCAAAGGGGATTGACGATTGAATTTAGCATGAAACAGTCTGTCGCTTCTGAGTGTTGACCGAAATGTCCAATTTTGTATTTACATACGCTCTATCTCTGATATTGAGTACTTCATCCTATAAATATTGCATACCTTAAAACTATATATATATATATATATATATATATATATATATATATATATATATATATATATCGGTACCTATACTCGTCTCGAAAAACCTTCGATATTTTTTGATTTGCCAATAATCAAATCAATCTCGAAGAAAAAAGGTTTTAAAAAAGAAAGAGCCAGGAAAATGAAAGACTGTCGAAAAAATCGCCCAGATACAGGTTCAAAGCCCAGAGAAAAAAAACCGGATACGAGTAAACAACTAACTAAGAAGAGCTCAATACAACCGTAGAGCAGACCTAGTCAAACCTAGGATCGTCAGGGGAAAGCTTTCCTGACGATATATATATATATATATATATATATATATATATATATATATATATATATATTGATGCTTGTTTCATTAAATAATATAGACAAGTGTTTTCTATTTATTTTATGTAAATTCTTTTCATAACGTCTGATATGCTTTATAACATTATCATTAAACGAAGAAAGAAAATCACTATATTGATACATATTTTTTTAATCCGATCTAAGCTTTCGGCTTACATAAGCCATTATCAAAGATGACAATTACAGTACAATATATTAAGCAATACACGGACAAAATAATGATGATAGTCTGTTTACATGGATGATTTCCAAGCAACGATAAACACGTGCATATAAGACGCTAGAAGCGAAAATCGCACCGCATCTCATGACGTCACACATGACCACACAAGAGTGAATTGGAGAAGTATGGGAAGCCTTTGGTATAAACCAATGGCTTCTGCTACCAATTATAGACATTTAAGAATATTTGTAGAGATGCCGTAATTGATTTTGTTTAGGTTGGGTTTCAACTGTTTCATGTATAATGATTCAAGGTTTTTTAGTTTTTGTCTATTGTTTTCATGTTAAAGTATAATTGTTTTTTCGACAAGTATTTTACGGAATTGTGTGTGCGGGCAGGTATGTTGTTTTAAATGCATAAAAATGTTAGTTTTCATTAAAATGTAGTGTCAAGGGTCGTGAAAGCGAGTTTGTGGTGTGACCAACGTAAATATTATTTAATTCGTTGGAGATACAATCTCCCAAAGGGCACTTGAATTTATAAACTATGTTGCTTTTTTTACAAATCGCTAACCGGGGGAGAAGAATCATTGCGAAGAATTAAGTTGGATATCCTAGATTTAGTGTAGTATATGATTAATTTAATTCTTTTGCTAGGATTTGTTGTTGATATATTAATATTTACTAAATTTTTTTTGTTTATAATTAGTATGCATTTGATTACGATATAGGAGATTAATATGTTTGAAATTAGTAGAAGCATTATTATGTACTATTTGCTTAGTATTGAGATTTCTAAGAAAGCATTTTATTTGTTCATCAACTATATAGTTTGGAAAGCTATTATTAATAAGTATTTGTTTTATATTCTTTAGTTCACTGTAAAAAAAATCTCTTTTGTGGATGAATTAGTTTCTGCACGATGTATTAGATTCTTTATAATTGCTATTTTGTAGTAATATGGGCATTCGCTCTTGTAGCTATGAAAAGAATTTACATAAAATAAATATGTCTATATTATTTAATGAAACATGTATTAATATATATATATATATATATATATATATATATATATATATATATATATAATGAATAGTCTGTGATAGATAGATAGATAGATAGATAGATAGATAGATATGAACAGTTTGCTGTATATACATTGACATGAACAGAATGCGATAGATAGATAGATAGGCACATCTGAACAGACAGCGTTATATCCATATATATATGTGTGTGTGTGTGTGTGTGTGTGTGTGTGTGTGTGTACAGAAAAATAGGAGAAAATGGTGAAGTGTGAATAAAATGCTGTTATATCATATTTTTGTGACGCGTTAAATAAATATTGTCACTTAGAAGAAGCACGCGAAAATTACGCTCTTTTGTGTAATTGGTTTAATTACTTTTTTTTTTTTTTTAAAAAAAAGAAGACAGTTTATGTGATTTTAAAAGCGTCATGATCAGTCGGAATTGCGTCAAAATATATTTTCTCAATTAAACGATTGAAATTTCAGCGGGAGACAAACAAACACCAAAACCTACGCGTATTTATAGACATATTCTAAATTGACAATTATACGTGCGTTCGACCATTTTGAAACGACAAACGGACAGAGCGTCATGTTGTGGCCCATAGCTGCATATGCCTTTATTTGCAGCTGGAAGTATGGAAAGCGGGAAGTCCACACCAAATGTTGCCCTAGCTCGCAAATGAAGGAAAGAGGAGGAGAGAAAAAGAAAAAAAAGAAAGAAAAACAGAAAACCAAAAAAAAAAAAAAAGTGTCGCGTCCGTAACTGACGGAGTGCTCGATGACAAAACATTGCCCCAACCGTAAACTCTGAAAACGTGGCCAGCATAAAAGTTCACAAGCTGAGCAAAGACAGATCATCTCGCTGTCCGCCATTACTAGGCTGATGTGACATCAGTGGACAGTTGCCAACTAAAAAATCACTTGTGTTTACTGTCCAAACATTAGGTCGCTTTCTTTCCTTCTCTCTTTGTCTTTTCCTTCGATTTCTTTCTCTTTTCTTTTCCTTCTTTTTTTTTTCTCACCTGTTTCCTTTTCTTTCTATCTTACTTTCTTTTGGCTTCCGGCCATATCACGTTGAAACACCGGTTCACGTGCGAATAACCGAAGTTAAGCAAACTTGAATCTGGTCACTACATTTCAGCAAAATAACAGAGTGTAGTATTTTCGAAGCAGCACTGGTCTACGCCACATAAGTAAATACACACACACACACACACACACACACACACATATATATATATATATATATATGTATATAACGCTGTCTGTTCATATGTGCCTATCTATCTCTCACATTCTGTTCATGTCAATGTATATACAGCAAACTGTTCATATCTATCTATCTATCTATCTATCTATCTATCTATCTATCACAGACTATTCATTATCCATCTATTGCAGTGTGTTCATATCTATCTATCTATCACATTATCTATCACAACCTATTCATTATCTGTCTATCTTATTCTATTCGTATCTATCTATCTATCTATCTATCTATCTATCTCATTCATTGTTAGCACATATCTAATTGTGTTCGTATCTATCTATCTATCTATCTATCTATCTATCTATCTATCTATCTATCTATCTATGATTTTCAGAATGTATCTATCTATCTATCTATCTATCTATCTTTTATTCTATCTATCTATCTATCTATCTATCTAAATATCTATCGTTTTGTTTCAGAATCTATCTTCATCTATCTATTATGACTTTTTCAGAATCTATCTAACTATCTATTCAATCTATCTATCATATCGTTTTGTCATAGGATGTTTCCTCTTCATGCTTTTACAATAATTAAAGACTTTTCATTGACTTTTATTTTTTAGTATCAATATATATATATATATATATATATATTCTATAGTATGGGTATGTGTTTGTAACCCTGGGTTTCACACAATTATCAGTCAAGACATGTATATATACATTTTCATTTAGGTTTGTGTAAGTTGGGTATATATATATATATATATATATATATATATATATATATATATATTGTGTGTATTTAGGCAGCATCTTTTCATTCATTAAAAATATAAAAAAAATATGGATCACTATTGTGAATTTCTTTCTTCGTTCAACGATAATGTTATTAAACTTATCAGATATTACGAAATAAAATAAATAGACAACACTTGTGTATATTATTTAATGAAACGTATATATATATATATATGTATATATAAATAAAAAGAAAGAACAGTAAGATATATAATCCATATGATTTTAGCTATGTCTTTAAAACCCAGTAATTTTAAAAGTTACTCCAAAATTCGCTTGAGGATTAAATGGAACTAATGTCTTTAATTTAATTACAAATCTAAATTCGGACCTTCCATTTTTGAAACATGGTTTGAACTGTATAGCGGAAAAACCATATTTTAAATGAATTAATTTATAATATATATATATATATATATATATATATATATATATGTGTGTGTGTGTGTGTGTGTATATATATATAGGGCATGCATATAACATTGCATTATATTGTAAATATAATATATATATATATATATATATATATATATATATATATATATATATGTGTGTGTGTGTGTGTGTGTGTGTGTGTGTATATATATGTATATATATATATATACCCAAATGTAAATATATAAGTTTGTAAGTAGTGCTCAATGGGTTTCACGTTGTTGCGATTATCAGTCAAGATCGCAAAACTGAAATCCAGGTTATCCAAATCAAACGTATAACTGAATATATTATATCTATCACTGATATTTAGGATATTTTTTTTCAATATTTGTAACAACCCTACACACACACACACACACACACACACACACACACACACACACACACACACAAGGGATAGTTAATTAATTAGAAAAGTTTAAAACCATTTATTTTAAATTCAATATAATCACTTAGTTTGAAACAAATATTGATTTTTGAGTTTATATTTTTCATATTTAATATAATTTTTTTAAATAAATAACATACATACTGTATATATATATATATATATATATATATATATATATGTATATATATGAATATATATATTATATATATTTAATATATATATATATTTTTTTTATTATTACCCCATTTTAAAGATCTGAATAGTTATTAGAACATACCTTCATTGTCAAGACTTTTTGAATTTTCCTATGTTTGTATTTTGGTCATTCTAGCTTTTGTAACAACGTTTTCCCCTTGCTAAGGATCGTTAATTAATTTGAAACTTTTAAACTTTCAATTTATTTTACATTCATTTTTTCATCACTTGATAAGACCACTGGATTATTCTTGTTTCAAAACAAAATGGCTATTTTTGTATTTTGATTTTTTAACATATTTATATTATAATTTTTAAATAAATAATTATAGTTTTTTTTTCTGGTTTTTGACAATATTGAGCACTCTTTTAAGAATAGTAATTGTTGGTTATGGTGAATCTTCTATTTCTGTATCCACCAATTATATACTTATATATATATATATATATATATATATATATATATATATATATATATATATATATATTATTATTAGAAATCTTATAATTATAAAAACTTAGGGTTAGGTTTATATATACAAACTTTCATACATACACATACACACACACACACATATATATATACATATATATATATATATATATATATATATATATATATATATATATATATATATGCAAACTTTTATTAATGACTTCTAACAAGGTACTGCGATTAAGCCTTTTAGCGTAAAATAATAGTCCGATCGTTTTTATATATTCGATAGCTTTCGGCTATTATTTTTTCATTTTTATTGTTAACCGAATCTGTAGATTTATGTATCTATATGTATCTATAATGATGGGAAGGTTTCCAAACACGCTCGGCACATTGTGGCCGTGTTCATAGTTGATGTTATTGAGTGTTGAATTTTTCTTTTCTATTATCAATGCTTTCGATATTTTTCGTCATTTTTTTTACATGCAGATGTGACTATTATACTTATATTTTCTATAAGTATGTTGCGGCTGGAGTTTGGTGGAATTCTGCTAGTGTTTAAATATGTCCTAATTGAGCTATGATCAGAGAGATGTTATACAATATCCAGGATAGAAAACACAGTTTTTCTTGCATTCGTATAAGCTTTTTTTCTTTTCTGAAGATAATGCTTGTAAAATCTCTCCGTTATTCTATGCATCTGACTTTATCCTATTCATCATTATCAGGATTGTTTTTTAAAACTGAATATGTCGATTTTTTTCAATATGTTTGTATATGTAATGGCTTTCTTTATTTTGAAAACACGGTCAGCACATTGTGACCGTGTTCATAGTTCTTATTATATTATTGCTTTTTCTTTTTTATTATTAATGCTACCATTATGATTTTTTTACATGTGCATGTGGCTATTATGGTTGTATTTTCTGTAACTATGTTGCAGATGGAGTTTGGTAGGTTTCCCTGGGTGTTTAAAATGAGTTCTTAAATGATTCCTTGAGTCCTTACTGAGCTATGTTCAGAGAGGCGTAACAAAGAGTGATTGAATTAAAAGTTCAATCTCTGAACTTTGTCAGGCTTCTTTAAGAAGGATTGCTACGCAAATACATAATTATATATGTATATATTTATGTGTTTATACAGGTTTATGGATTTATACATGTAAATATATAGATGTCTATTAAATGTTTATATATGTATATGAACATATATATATATATATATATATATATATATATATATATATAGAGAGAGAAGAGAGAGAGAGAGAGATAACTAAACAATTTACTGTAAAAGCACGATGCGAGTAAAATTATTCAGTCAGTCAGTTATGTGCCATGCTTTCGATACATGACTGACGAGGCAGATTTTTTCTCGCAGTTGGTTGCCATTTCTTTCTGCGGTAGACCAGTTGCCATCCAAGGCGAGAGAACCCGGTCTGTCCTGCTATTTACCCATAGCTGTGAGAAGAGGATTCATACCTTTCCCAAGGGTATTAGCAGGTACGTGAATTTTATGGATTCGACTGGAATTTAATGGATTCAAATTAGTTTGGTCTGATTTATTTTACGGTATATCAACCTCAAAGTTTTTTTGAATGTCGACAATATTTATATTACTGATAATATCTTTTTCAAAAAAATTTATTACTGTTATTAAACCTTTTTTTACACTTTCATAATCTTCTGACACCAGTTTGGAGGTTAACTATTTGCCCATAGTTGGGACCCTCACAGGTGCTACCACCCTGGGTGAGGGCGGACCCAGCAATTAAGAAATGGTTCCACACTCCTCAAAACCTCCTGATTAGAGGTCTTACTTTGTTACTGTGGACGTAGTTTATCGTCATACCCTGGACGCGGATGTAGTTTATCGTCTTACCCAGGACGCGGATGTAGTTTATCGTCTTACCCAGGACGCGTATGTAGTTTATCGTCTTACCCACTAGGCGGATGTAGTTTATCGTCTTACCCAAGACTCGGATGTAGTTTATCGTCTTACCCAGGACGCGGATGTAGTTTATCGTCTAACCGATGACCCGTATGTAGTTTATCGTCTTACCCAGGAATCGGATTTAATTTATCGTCTTACCCAGGACGCCTCGTTTTTTTTGTGTGTGAGGGGGTCTTACCCCTCAGCAGAGGTGCAATCAGCGTATTCTGAAGCCCCAGCTGACAGGGCAGTACATTTATTTATAAATTCTTATAAGTTCAGTTTACTTTTCTCCCAAGGGAGCTTTACGGCAGTATAACTTTGAAACACCGCTTCTCGTATGATCACCGAAGTTAAGTTATTAGTAATCTCTCGATGTACTTTCTTTATGAAAAATTATATTCTTTTTTAATTAAGTTGGCATTAATAAAACCAAATTATCGTCAGTTTTGTTCCTGTGTATTACGAGAGAGTTTGAATCATTGTCTAAACACAAATCTCTTTTATGTTCGTAGAAACGGGCTTTTACATTTCGTGATGTCTCTCCGACATAAATGCTTTTACATCGTAAGGATTTTATTTGATAAGTACCGGCATTTGAATTGGTTATTTTTTGGATTTATTTTTTAATTTATTTGTCATGGAAATTGTTGGCTAGGGTTATGAATATTACCGTGAGTGGTGTCGAAATTATTTTGAGGGCGTACTAATCGCAATATTACAAACCATAAACACACGTCAAAAACATATTACACCATCAACTTTTATGAATGCATTCTTTAAGAATCTCACGTATCTTTATCAAATGGCCTGTTTGAAAAAATATTTCCAAATTAACATGAAAAAAATCAACAAACATAATGTCTACTGGACATACACATACATATATTCACACACAGACACACACATACATACTTACTAATAAATAATCTCTATCTATAAAAGGCAGGATGTGTGTGTGTGTGTGTAATGAATGCACGGCCGCAATTTTCGACGGATTTGCACCAAAATTTACAAGCACATGCTCTAAGTTAGCGGGAAGGCCAAGACCGACTTTGGATTTCCCAACTCCCATCGATAGTGGAAATAATCGATATTTTCCAGCTTCTACGGCAGTTTTCACGTAGTTTGAGGCTATTTTATACTGGCCAGAGTGATAGCCTATAGCTTGCTGCCATAAATAGACAGGAAGATTCTATTAGCCAGCGTGAGAGCTAACAGCTGACTGACACGAATGTTAACTAGCATACAAGCATGCAA